GGCTATGCGTGGCTCCTATCATCCCTGTACCACGCCCCAAGCCTCGCAGGTGTAATGGACATTGTTCTGTCCCTTTCTGTCTCCATGCCCTCTCAGGTGCTTGGGCTCTCCTCAGCCCTCTCTCCGGGGCGTTCTCTGTAATGCCTCCCTCTCTCCGGGGCCTTCTCAAGCACTGCCCCCTTTCCTGGGGCTCACCACAACGCTGCCCCCTTCTCCGGGGCTCACCACGCCCACACTGGGGCTTCTCAGCAATCCCCCTTCTCTGGGGCTGGGGTCCATGCACCCTGAATGCTGCACCCTCACCGGCGCTGGGGTCCCCCACACCACTGCGAGTCCCCTATGACTCCTCCTCCAACTCCTAATAGCCTCACCCAAACCACCGGTAACAAACAGTAAAACAAAAATGCAAGCCTTTGGCTATAACATAAACAGAAGTCGCTTGGCCATAACAACATCCAAGCCTACCAGGGATTCTTCATTTCACAGAAGTGTTAAATGCTACTCCTGCATCAGCTTCTCCTTTCTCCCATGACAAAGAGCTCCTTCCTCCTTGGCTGCTGGCAGGGAACTGCCAGCCTGGCCTCAGCCCCTGGGTTTTATAAGGGAGCCAGGCCCTGCCCCTTACAGTCAGCTGACTGCTGGCAGGTGTGATTGCTTGTTAGCTCGGCTGCCCTGGCAACCAACAGCTGGACTCCTTATTCACTCACTGCTAGGGTCCCTTCCCTAGCAGGTTTTCCTTCTTAGGAGCACGGCACCTAAGTGCTCTGCGACACAACTCTCCCCTCAAGACCCAGATTCACCGAGGCATGTCTTCATTCTTGTCCCTCTGGCCTCCTTCATCTTGGTCCTTTTAGATTCTTGTTTTGGCTCACCAACACTTTAGATGCATATAGGCGGAGGTTTTAAGGCACCTCCTGCTCGCCTTTTCCCCAAGGCGCACCACGTCGGATTTCCTGGGAGATGCCCCGCCATGGGCAGTCCCCCCACATCAGCCTACCAAGTCTGGCTAAACTCGCAGTTGGTTGAGCCCCTTGTCTTCTAGGATCCACTATTTCTTCTTACACTACTCTCCTGAGGTGGTAGTGCTTGCCTCTCCTAATAGGCACTTTGGAGATCCTGAAGCCTTCCCCAGATCTCCCACTGTCTTCTCAACGCTCTCTGTGCATCTTTTTCCTCCCAAAACTCAATCTTTCCTCGACTGGTGGGTTTTCCTTTAGGCCCTTTATAGATTTTTACTTGGGTTACTCCCCCGACTCTGGCTTCAACCACTTTTCTCAGGGTCCACCATTTGACTTTCCTTGGGAGGTTACCAACGTAAACACATGGCCTCCTTCCTCCCCTTTGTTCTTTCTCTGACTGGATTACCTTTGGTGTTGAGGGTCCTTCTGCCTCCTTAGCTTGGCCTGCAGTCTGGATTCAGTCCGGTCTCTGCTGCTGTGCAGGGCTGAATATCTCTTCCTTAGGGTGGAGCTTGTGGTATCCTCGTATTTCTCTCCTAGCTCCCCTGGGGTTTTGGCCCCTTCTTTCCATCTCAGGCCCTTGTGCCCTTCTTTCACTCGGGGCTTCTGCCACTCTCTCCCCTTTGGAACCTGTACCTTGTCTACTATATGCCCGAGCATGTGTTCTCTTTGGTCTCTGGCCTTTGTTTTGTCTGTCCCCCATTTTGAGTCTGACCATGGTAGCTTAGGTCACTGTTCTTGTCTCTTCAACTAACCTGTCCACTCTCTTGCACAGCTGTCATATCCCCCTCATCTACTTTCATCTGTTGTATCTGTTTTGGTACTGTCAGTACCTCAACATCGTACCTGCTGGCGAGTTTTTCTAATTTTCTCTCAAGCTGTTGAATCCTTCTGCATACTGGCTTGCCCAGTGACTCCACTTTTGCTCGAGGTATTTGATAACTGTGGGGATACTCTCTTCCCCTTGTTGCCGCATCTGTCTCGGGAGGTCCCTCCGTCATCGTACTCTTTTCTTGTTGCTCTACTCCCCTCTCCTTCCTGGAGCTTCCTAGCCTAGTATTCTTGTGGGTTTCTTGGTCTTCTTGGACCTTTAGGTGTACAGTCCTTGCTGTCTCTACCCATCTCTCGGTCTCTATCAAAATTCCTTTCAAGGCTTCCAGCTCTCACAACTGCTCATGGTGCTCCGTGTTAGCCCTAGATGCATGTTCCTCCAATTGCAGGTCTATTGCGGTCAGTCTCGCTCTCTGTATTTGAGCAACCCATACCAGTTGCTGCTTGATGTCTGCTCGTAATGTCATCTCCCTGGCTGTACTCTCTTCTAAAAGGGTCCTCAGGGACTGCATCTCTTCCCCCAGGTGGTCCTTTTCCTTTGTCATCTTTTGCCACTGAGCCCACAACTCTACACACTCCTCCGTTCTGGCTCTTACCTCTGTTTAGAGGGCCTGCTTCAGCTCTTGTAACTCCTCGTGATTCGCCATGTATTCTTTCACTTTCTCCATTTCTTTTGTTATCACTTTCCTGGTCTCTTCTGCCTGGGTATGGCTTTCCATGAGCTTTTCCCTCCGCTCTCCAACCAGGTGTTCAGCGCAGCCGCACCGCTCTTGCTAGTTCTCCAGGTCCTCATGCAGGCCTTCTATCTGTTCCACTTGGCTATGGATTTCTTTCTGGAGGGCTCCTATGAGGCTCTTTGATATTTCCAGCTTTTGTATTACCTCGTTTTGTTCTCCCGTTTGGTCCGTACTGGGCTGAGGAGACTTTGTCCTCCATTCAGCCATCTCCTTCTGCATCTCTTGCAACCTCTCCTCTTGCCATCTGCTCTTTTTGGCCTCCTCTGCCATGAGCCGTTCCAGCACTTGAGTATTCTCCGCCTCTGCTGCAATCAGGCGCTTTATCTCCTTAGATCCGCCTTCTTTCTTCCCGGGTTGTGCTCGCAGCTCTAAAGCGGCCACTTTTGCCTCGGTTTGCTCCTTGTGTGATCTCATCATCATTTCCAACTCTCTCTCTAGACGGGCAGCTTTTTCCTCTGCCTCGTCCACCCGCAACTGCCAGGTGAAGGCTTCTCGAGATGCTTTTGTTTTGCATTGTTCACCCCCCCCCCCCCCCCCAGGCCCAACCCAATGTCTTCCCTTCTATAATTTTTCACTGCAGTCACGTCCCTGATCTTGGCTTGCCTCCTCAAGCCCCAATCTCACTGCCTCGCCTTCCTTTATATTTGTTCTAGCCCTAAGGTTTGTTTCCCTTCTCAGGGACACGGGTTCCTTCCCCGTGCATGGCTTCACGTTCCCGGCTAATGCACCACTTTGTCACAGCAGGGTCCTGCAGGAAGGCCGTGACCTTCTCAAGGCCCCCCTTCCCATGCCAAATTGGCCAAAGGGCACCCTCAAATTCTCGCCCACCATGTTTTTGGTGTTCAAGTCTGTTAGGGAGGCTGCCTTCATGTCTCTTCAGACACAGTTTAGCTGTACTCCAAGCCCTGTGGGCTCCTGGACCCCATTGTGGTCCCCGTTCTATCGTGGGTGTTTCGGGGCACCCTAGCCTTATGACTATGTGTGGCTCCTACCACCCCTGTACCACGCCCCAAGCCTCGCAGGTGTAACAGACATTGTTCTGTCCCTTTCTCTGTCTCCATGCCCTCTCTGGTGCTTGGGCTCCCTGCAGCCCCATCTCTCTCCATGCCCTCTCTGGCACTTGGGCTTTCCGGGGCCTTCTCCAGAGCTCACCACAATGCTTCCCCCTTCTCTGGGGCTCACCACGCCTGCACTGGGGCTTCTCAGCAATGCCCCCTTCTCTGGGCCTTCCCCACTGTCCCTCTCTGGGGCTAGGGTCTGTGCACCCCGAATGCTGTGCCCTTGCTGGCACTGGGGTTCCCACACTGCTGTGGGCCCCCCTATGAGGCCTCCTCCAACCCCTAATAGCCTCACCTAAACCACCAGTAACAAACAGTAAACAAAAATGCAAGCCCTTGGCTATAACATAAACAGAAGCCGCTTGGCCATAACAACATCCAAGCCTAGCGGGGATTCTTCATTTCACAGCAGTGTTAAATGCTGCTTCTGCATTGGCTTCTCCTTTCTCCCATGACAGAGAGCTCCTTCCTCCTTGGTGCTGGCAGGAAAATGCCAGCCTAGCCTCAGCCCATGGGCTTTATAAGGGAGCCAGGCCCTGCCCCTTACAGTCAGCTGACCGCTGGCAGGTATGATTGCTTGTTAGCTCGGTTGTCCTGGCAACCAACATTTGGGCTGCTTATTCACTTTTTTTTCTTTCTTAGGAGCAGGGCACCTAAGTGCTCTGCGACAGTTATGAAACATTAATGCTAAGAAGCATTTGTTCAATAACTGAGAGAGTTCGAATAAGATTGGTGTGGCCCTTCTGAAGTATCTTGCATACCATGGTATCCCATCAAGTACAAAGGCCTTGTTCATGTAGAAAGTTATCTGAAACCAAAGGAGAAACTCCAGTTCAAAAGCTGGGTTCGTCCCTCCACTAGAAGGTGTACACAAAAGAGCTCACATTTCTGAAACTGCAGCAGGATGGAAGTTCTGATTTGCCACAACTTTATACCCTAAAGATTTCCCCCTCTGGTCTACAGCTTAAAATGATGGAATTTGGATTGGAGCAGAGCAAGATTTGTGTTCCCTAAAATATTTTCTCTCAGGTCCTGAGAAAATGAATGTTGTTCAGTGACCAACACAAGCACAACACAAGCCTAATTCTCAGAGTAACAGACATTTAGACCAGGGCTTTGCATTTGTATCACTGAATTTATCCTAGTATCAGTTTTGCAAAGGTGCAGCCAGGAACTGAAAAGGAGCTAGAAGAGCAGTGGGAACCAGACTAGAGAATAAGGAATTGAGGATCAGGAGCCAGATTAGGAAATTTGGAAATAATTCTAGATGTAGAGAATACCTGTCTTGTTGAGAGCTTGCAGAGCAATGCAAGGGCTGTTCAGCAGTTTAACTGGGGCCAGCTGGGAGCACTGAGGTAGCCAGCAGCCAGTCCTACACAGACAATCAGGGCCAGCTGCAGCCTTATCAGTCTGCCTGCTGCTTTGACTCTCGTCACAGCCCATACCTCTGACGTCCTCCACTGACAAATAAGGAACTTGAAAATCAACTTGGTGAGTTGACTCTTGAACCACTAATTCATTGGCTATGCATATTGTCTCTTTTTCTAGCTGTTAGTCTACAAGAGAACAAGAATTTACTACTGCTATTACCTATGAAGTTTGTCTGTTTTGAGTGAAAATAGCAGACACACATATCTAAGATAGAATTGGAGATTTGAAGCTCCTAAATTTACGTATAATATTTCTACACCTTTCCTTAAGTTATATAAGGATAGTTTAAAGTTTAGTTTCATAATTAAGGGGCACATTTGAAACAATTGCACAGGAGAAATTCACCCATATTCTTTCATATTTATTTCTAATCTTCTAGCTGCCAAACTGCTTTTTCTTTGGCTGTTAGCTACAATAGAAAGTTTACCATGTTCAGTTGAAAGAACACAGCAAGAAGAAAGATCTCAGCCAGTGCCCAAGCTTTGCTCTTTCATTTATATTCTGGAATTCATAGTATGGAATTGAACTGGCCTCATGAAAATAAGCGTATCCTAAGTCTATGCACACAGAGACTAGTAGCGAGTTACCAGAGTAAAACTCCTACTAAAATCCTCTGGATTGTCAGGGCTGAAGATCCTGGTCTATGATCAATCTAGGCACTGTGAGTGTTGTACACCTTCATGGTGAATGCTAACCCGTCAAATCTGATCTTCAGTATATATTCCTTATTTTGAGGAAAGGAAAGGAAAAAGCAGTTATCTAGGACTGACAACTCACAGCTATAGTTTCTACTCAGGTTCCTGCTTGCCAGCTCTCTAGTGGCAAGTCGCAGCAGTACAGGTAGGGAATTGTCAGAGAAGTTTTTTACCCGTAAGGTGTGACTGCTTCAAACTTGAGCTAACAGTAACACACATCAATATGTGAGCAGTTTGAAATATAACATGTAACAAGGACCTTAGTGTCAATGTGAGTTTGGAGCAGTCATATGTTCAGGCCAGCAGGAGGAAGAGCAAAAGGTAGAAATCCCCTTCTGAGACAGGCCCTCGGTTTGCTTCCTTACCAGTTTTCGCTGAGCCACAGGGAAGGACTTATAGGCCCTGCAGTTCCCCTGGAGAAAAGCCTTATAGCCTAAGCTCTGTGACGTCCTGGGCCCTGCCTACACAGACGCATCATGAGCAAATTTAATTTTTAACTGTTGGAAGTCTCTTCTCCTTTCCTGCCTACTCTTGGAACTGTTTTTTTTTTTCCTTACTAAGGAGATGAAGCCCTTCCACCTTCCCTCTTGATTGGCATGCAGGGATTGCACTGTTTCTGGGGAGATTTTATAGATGTTATAGATATGGATGGAATCATTAGATCATCTGGTTTGACTTCTATATATTGTAAGCCATTACAGTTCATTCAGCTATTCCAATATGAAGCTAAATAGCTTGTATTTGGCTGAAGTACAACTTCCCAAGCCCAAGTTTGTTTGAGGACATCAAGAGTAATTTAGATTTACCACCATCTTTTGTAGTTTGTTCAAAGGTGTTAAAAATGTATGCTTTATTTCACATTTTCATTTCTTAGCTTTAGCTTCCAGACATTGGTTCTTATAATGCCTTTTTCAGCTAGATTAAATAGCCCTTTATTACCTAGTATTTTTTCTCTAGGTTGGTACTGTAATCAAGTCACCTTTCAGTCCTTTTCATATAAACTAAACTGACTAAGGTCTTTAAGTCTTTCACTTTAAGGCACTTTTTCTAGTCCCCAATTTTTATAACTTTTCTACCCCCTAACTTTTCAAAATCCATTTTTTCAAACTTAATTTCAGAGCTTTATCTGATGTTACCGTATTGGTCTCATTATTGTTGTGTCACTTTCATATTCCTACTGACTTCTTTTCTCTTTATACATTTAAGGTATCATTAGCCCTTCTTTTTTTATTATAACATCACGCTTGAAGCACATACAGAGGTGTCTGTCCAACATCATCCCCATTCTTCAGAGTTTTCTGTGATGTATCTCCCTATTCTGTACATATAGCTATGTTTTTTGCCTTTTGATGTATGGCATTTCACTAGCTGTATTTAAACACCATGGGTATTTATACACATACCTTTTTTTTACAGCTATGTGCCAGAGATCCACCACTTCAGATCAGACTCAATTAATTGAGTCTACTTCGTATGTGAGCTGAGGCAAACTGCACTATGCTGCCTGCAGTTGTATAAGCGGCGAAATGCACGTCTGTGTACAGAAAATGGTAGTGGTGCAGTTTTGAACGAAATCCCCTCCAAGATGTTTTAGTTCAAAAGCATGTTACCACCATTTTCTCAGCACTGATGCTCATTTTGTTGTTTATACAACTGCATGAGTCACAGTGCCAGGTGCTTTTCAAAGTGCCTGGCACTGCAATGCATGCATGTGTAAAAATGCCCATTTAGTTTGAATGGGTCCAGTTTGCCAAGATGGATTATGAGTTTTATTGCACTTAAGGCTTAATGATGGGGTTCTGCAGGCTGGATTCAGCCCATGGACCATATCTTTGGTACCCCTCAGTTAAAGGAACAGTGAAGCCAGTGTTGCTGACCTACCCTATCTGATAGAAGACATCCATGTACACAATCATGAATAGTGTTGCTGATATGTTAACAAAGGTGGGTATTGCAGGCAATACCCAGGAGCTTCCAAGCTAGCTAAATAAGGTGGGTGTCAAGTCCTGGGAACAGTCTGGCAGGGTCTGAAGAAGCTTTTGGAGCTCAGGAGATGGAAAGGAAGAAGACAGCAAAACAGAATACATTTGGCTTAATATGAAAGGTGAAAGATATAATGGTGGGGATCACCCCTGATTTGGGATCCTGCCACCAAATAAGGAAGAGGGGGTGGCTGAGGCATTCTTGAAGCAGGTGAAACATCTATTCAGAAGTGATGGGATGGTGTTCATGGAAGACTTCAGTTTTTTGGACATACGCTGGAAAAAACATACAGGAAACATAAAATGTCCAGCTGGTCCCTAACTTGTGTGGAAGATAAATTTCCATTCCAGGAAGTGGAGGTTACAACTAGGGGATCAACTAAGGGATCTTGTCCTGACAAACGGGGAAGAATTGGTGGAGGATGTGAAGGTGATGGGTAACTTGGAAGGAAGCAACCACAATATGATAGAATTCCAGATCCTGAGACAGGAAAAGCATGAGGTCAGCAAAATTAGGATGCAAAAAAGTGAATTTCATGCAACTCAAGTAATTAATATGCATGGTGTCATGGGAGGATGAACTGAAGGATAAAGGTGCCCAGCAGGGCTGGGATCTTCTATAGAGCACAGTATTGGAAGCCCAACAGGAAACTGTCCAACACGATGGGAGGAAAAAGAAGAATGTCAAGAGACCAAATGTGGCTGTACAAGGAGCTTCTGAAATGCTTAAAATGCAAAAAGAAAGCATATAGGCCAAAGAAAATGGGTGGGTCACAAAGGAAGTATACCAGGAAAAACCTGGAGGGACAAAAATCAGTAGGGCAAAGATAAAGTACAAGCTGCACCTGTCAATGGAGGTTAAGGACAACAAGAAGAGGTTCTAAAAGTGTGTTATGGCCAGAATAGAAGGATCAAGGAAGCTCAGGTCCTTTGTCAACAAGTTGGGGGGCCTCCTAACAGAAGATGCAAAGAAGATGGAGCTACTCAACTTCTGCTTTGCCTCAGTCTTAACAAAAAAAAAAAAAACAGTTGTGGCCAGATATCTAATAAGGGGTATCCAGGTAAGTAGGAGGCGAGCTGAGGGAGGAGATGCCAAAAGAGACAGTGAGAGTTTTTGTTGGGTCTGAATGATTTCAGGTCATCAGGGTTAGATGAGTTTCATCCCAGGCTCCTCTGCCAGTTCCTTCAGGACATCTCAGAGCCCTTGGCAACAATATTCATGAAATCATGAGAAATGGACCAGGTACCAGAGGACTGGAAAAAGACCAGTGTAGTGCCCTTCTTTAAAAAAGGGGAAAAGGAGGATCTGGAGAACTACAGAATAGTTAGACTCACCATAATACCCGGGAAATTAATGAGCATATCCTAAGGAAGGCCATTTACAAGCATCTGGAGGAGGAAAGGCTGATCGCAAGCAGACAGCATGGATTTATGAAAAACCATGTCAAACAAACTTGATCTCCATCTTTGACAAAGTAATTACTTGGGCAGATGAAGGGAATGCTGTTGATATAGTGTATCTGAACTTTAGTAAGGTTTTTGACAAGGTCCTCCACAGCCTTTTCATAAACAAATTGGAGAAATGAAACATGGGCTAGATAAAACTGCTAAAAGGTGGATAGATAAATGATCCAACAGCTGCAAGCAAAGGGTCCATCTGAGAATGGCAGGAGGTTTTGAGTAGAGTCACACAAGGGACTGTATAGGGTCATTGTGTTTGTTAATGATTTGGAGGTTGGCATAGAAAGCTTCCTGAGCAAGTCTGCAGACAACATCAAACTGGGAAGGACTTCAAACACAAAGTATGCTAGTGCAATTCAGAAGGATCTCACCGGATTGGAAAGTTGGGCTAGAATTAACAGGATGACATTCAATGTGGACAAAAGCAAGGTGCTACATCACAAAAACACTAATATAAAATGGGTGAGACATGGCTGGAGACCACCACTATGCAAAAAGACTTGGGAGTTTTGGTGGGTGACAGATTCAATGAGTCTGCAGGGTGATGCAGCTGCACAAAAGACAAATGCAGTTTTGGGATGTGTCACCAGAGGCATTAGGTGCCAAATGTTGGAAGTGATAGTACCTCTCTGCTCAGCACTGGTTAGGCCTCATCTGGAGTGTTGGATGCAGTTCTAGGCTCCACATTTTAAAAAAGATGAGGAGAAGCTATAGAGGGTCCAGAGGAGAGGCTAAAGACGTAGGCATTTTCAGCTTATGGAAAAGGTGCTTAAAATGGGGCATGACAGCCATCCTCAAATACTTGAAGTGTTGCCATAAAGAAGACAGAAAGCACTTTTTCTCTCTTGCTAAAGAGAGGAGGACATGAACCAATGGCTGGAAGTTGCAGCAAAGTAAGTTTAGATTGGATATCAGGAAAAAAACAAAAACAAAAAAAAAACCTTCTCCACTGTTGGAACAGTAAGGCAGTGGAATAGGCTGCCCAGGGAAGTTATAGATTCCCCATCACTGAAGGGGTTCAAGAAGAGATTAGACAATCACTGGTCATGCATGATCTAGGTGCAAGTATGGCTAGGTTCTACTATGGGCATTTCCTATACTTCTTCCTATTTGGGAGAGGTGGCCTGATCAAGCCCCTTTGGACCTGTGACTCTTCAAGGCTAGGGACAGAAATTACACATAAACTGGTATAAGTGATTGGAAACTGGTTCAGGTCTGCAACACAACAAAAGTTCAGTGCACATAAATTGCTTTAAAAATGGCCCAAGCTAGCTTAAGATAAACCTGGATGAATGTAGTATCTGACTTAACTGACTTAGGTTAAATCAGTTTATTGAACTTCTGTCCCAGATCCCCTCCAGATTCAAGTTAACTCATAGTCCCCCAGCATCCCAGTGTGCTTTGTACCTCTCCCAAACCCTCCCCCTCACAGGGTGGGTGGGCTAGCCTTGGCCCAAGCCGTCTGCTCCAGCTGAGCAGGGAGGTATGCTCTAGCACCCCCTGGCTTCTGGCTTGAGCCACTGCATGCATGTGGCTGCATTTCTGGAATCAAAAGTGAATGTCTGTTCACTTGCTTATCGGTTCAATCTATGTAGCTTAGACTAACCTGTGAAGACTGAATTGGTTCAGCCTTGGGCTTTTTGACTGCCTGTACTTAGCCCAAATGATTATCTTACAATCTGAAGCTTGAGATTTGATTAAAATTATTCTAATGATATCTACTCAATCAATACATCCTAAATATTGTAGGTTGTCAATAATACAGGTCATCAGTTTTCCCCAACATGCACTTCTTTGTCACTGGTGGGCAAAACAGGAAAGCAAACATCCAAATTCCTCTCTCCTGCTGTTACAGTGAGGCAGAATAGAAATACAGCAATTTCAATATAAAGGAATATGATATTAATTGGCTCATATGGCTGGGACAACTGCAAGGACAAAACAAGGACAACAGAATCCCTCATGCTGTCACCTACGGTTTAAACACCTTGGACACATCATTAATGATCTCCAACCCCTCCTGGAAAATTATGACCATCTCAAGATAGCCATGAGAGGACAACCTGTCCTGACTTACAGACAGCCCTAACCTCAAATGGTGTCTCTCAGGCAAAAGACTACTTAACTCCTATTCTCACTGAGGCACCAGGCCTTCCAACAGACTCTGATATAAACTATGCCCCATTACCAATACAGACCAAATTACTGGACCAAATAACATGGATTATAACATCCAAGGTTAATTCATCTGGAACTCTGCCAACATCATATATGGGCCCCTTTGGTCTCTCAACTGGACAGACAGAGCAATCTCTGTGAAAGAATGAAGTGATACTGATCTGACATCAAGTCCAGAAACACACAAAAGAAGAACACGTCTGATTCCAGAAGAATCTTCCTGGACATTTCATCGCTGACCTAAAGTAGCTGTTATTAAGCAGCAAAACTTTAAAAGCTGACTTAACCACAAAATTGCAGAAAAAAGAAATCATTCAGTGACTGGATTGCTTTAGGTGTGGTCTAAACATTATCCATTACCTGGATAAGCTTTTTTGACCCCTTTGTCTGTGGGGGGTTATTACTTAGTTGTCTCTCTCAGCAATGCCCTTCATTTCCCTTCTCCCTTATCTCTGTATCTTCACTGTCTTTGGTATTCAAATCATTCTTGCTATTTGATAGTGTGTTCTGTGCATTTCCTTTCATAGCATCTGATGAAGTGAGTTCAGGCTCACAACAGTTTATACATCTCTGATTCAGTTAATCTGTAAGGTGTACCTCTACCCTGCTTTCTGCCTAACTGCAGTTCTGAATATGTAAAGTGAATCATTAATGTCAAAAACATTCTGTGCTTTACAAAGACACCATTAAATAATACTTTCTGAGTTCTGTGCAAGAAAGAACCTTCAGCTTCCATCCTTCCCTAATACTCTGTTCATTTTGTTCTGGATCTGATCATTAGATATTTCACAAAGCAAAAACTGAGAGCATACATGTGTGCCTATTGTTTTTAATCCTGCATCCATTCCACTTCTATTGCTTACTTGTGATAAGAGTATAGTCTATATAAGAGGAAAACCCAGATATAGTTTCTAGCAGTAGATTCACTGAAGGTAAAAAGGCTATGTTAGGAAAAGCCTTTCCCAGCTCAATAAAAAGCCCTTTATTGCATAAGGTTTTGGGCAATGACTTGAGTATTTTCAGGTGTGGGGAAGAGGTAAAACACATTAAAGAAAAAAAATGAAGTAGAGATGCAAGATATAGCATATCAGGGAAATGATACCAGCAATATGGAACTTGGAAAATATGACTATCCATTTTTAAAGAAATAATTCACTGAGTATGTCATGCAGAACAGGTATATCATACATATTGGCATTTTAAAAGCTTCTATTTAAAAGCTGTTGTTACTGAGATTTGTAAATTTCAACTGTTGCCCCAGAAGTAATCAATTTACTTTTAAAGTGTTCTGAGCAGTATTCTGTTTTATGCTATGAAAGCAAAACCAGTTTTCTACTCATACTGATACTTTCCAATGCAATTGAAACCCCATTGGAATTTATAGCTGTCTTCATGTGGCCCGTGAAGGATTACTTTTGACCAAAATGGGTTGATCTTTAACACCATTAGAGGACAACTATCATTCTGGTATTAGGAGTAGCTGAAGGTCAGAAAGCTAAGGTGTGTATGCTGCCTATGTTATGGTTCTCTGCCTGAGCTCTCCAGTAGGCTTCAATGCAATGCAGAATCAACATAGCTCTGGAAAGCTCCTCTCAGCCTTAGCACCCATTGGCACTGTCCCTATCCTAAAATACAGTTTGTGGGGGCTTATCAAAAGGCATCCTTATAGATGCAGTGTACTCAGCTGGATAAACAGTTTTTAAAGGCCCTTTACTTCATAGGTTTTTTTTGTGTATATGGAATAGCCACAGGAGGCGGAAAATACTTCTTCAGAGGCAGGCACCTTTTTGTGTGTGGTTACAATGCTCACATAATCTGATAAATATTCTCCTGTCACTAATTTAAATGACTACTGGCTCATTTAGCAAGGCCCTTACATTATGAAATACTAAGGAAGAACTGCCTCAAACTCAAGAGTTTTCAGAAAAGAAAAGACAAAAAAGGCCTGAGTGAACAGCAGCTCCAAGTACCAATGGCTGTGGTAAATAGGCTTACCTGCTCTGAGCTGCATTACAGTACTCCTTTTATAAGCATATGTAATGCAAGAAAGCCTATTAATCACACTGCTGGCATAGCTAAAAAGATTTTTTTCCTGCCTGTTTTTCTAATATACTTTGAAATATTTTCTAAATATTGTACCATGTAATATGATCAAATGAAGTAAATGTAAATAAATACAGAGGATAATAACCAACCTTTTTTTTTTAATTGAGTTATATAATAGTGAAATCAAGTACAATTTCATATACAGCTTTAGGCCTGACTGTTTTTCAAATTTCAGGAACAACAAACAGTCATTTTCCAGTGAAAAAATGGTTTATCAAAAGGTTTCTGACCAGATCTAATTGCAGGCCTTAAGAATCCTTCTAGGAATCCTACCTATCTTGGACAGGCAGTTTTCACTGCCTTTTTCTCTTTGTGTTTGGGTATTCACTAATACACTGGAGAAAGACTATAGCTGCCTGTCATCTGTCACCTGTGTTTGCAGTGTCACCTCCTTCTGTGAACAGTAACTGAGCTATAAATTAAGAGCTGAGAAAAGAGAGAAAGTATGCTAGTTACTTATCAGATTTCTCAATTATTGAGATCAATCCATTGACTGTTTCCTGAAACTGGGTGAAGTAGGAACAGTGTATGTGTATGTACATAGTGAGCTTATTAAGAGTCTAGGCTAGAAGATGTGGGGAGAAGAGAACACATTTCCATTCATGCCATTCCTCTTCTGTCCTCAGATACACTGCTTGGTGCAACACCACCCTTCCCAGCTCCTATGGCCAGACAATGTAGTACAGCTCTGCCTCTGCCATGGCAAAGACTCCCAGGTGGAGGAATGTTGGGGAGATGACTCTGGTGGCCTGCTTCCCCCACTGTAGTTGCACTATTATGTGCATGTGTAATAATAGCACAGAGATAATGCATGCCCTTGTTTTGGAGTGTTCTAAGCAAGATTTTCATAAGGAAACTTTGAAATTGAACTATTTGCTATTGGTACCTGAGATTGGGAAACACTGCATGTGTGTCTAATGGACTGAATGGTTTTATATTTTAGACAAAATAACACTCTGCTAAGTGACTACAGCTCACATAACCTGGCACGAGCTAGCACTGAATGGGCTAAATCAGGTACTGCTGGCAGCATAGCCACAGTATCAGGGAGCTTGATGCATGCTGCAAATCCACCTGAGAGTCTTGGTAAGCTCTTGGGCCATTAGTTCAGGTTGATCTCTGTTGTTAACCGCACTTGAATTATGCAGTTTACGGATAGTTTAGGTTTATCTACACCAGCTGCAGCTACTACAGTGTAGGCATACTGCAGATGTGGAAGAATCTTGAGTGACACTCATGCTTCATTGCCTGTCAAGGAGGTTACCATTTATATGATGTGGTTTGGAGAGGTTCCAGATCCTAAGGTTAATATCATTTATGTAGTTACTATTTAAAAATGTTGACTGCTATAGATCCAGGTTGAGAGAGAAAACTATAATAGCCTGTCCTGGTCTTTTAAAGTTTCAGGGGTGTGGGTTAGCCAGGCCTGTGCTGAAGACAGACCTAGCTGGAAAGTGATCAGGTGTTCTTTATGCACAGTTGATAGATATCCTGGAGGAGGGAGAGAGGATTTTGCAATAATTTTTTTGAAATAGGGGACTGAAAGTGAAGGAGGAAATCCGATGGCAGTGGACCTGCTTTGTTTGATGGTTTGCTTGTGTTTTATGTTGAAGAACACTACTATGCCCTAGAAGAGCTGTGGTTTGAGAAAAAGCCTATCTGCTTGCAGAGTCCTAGAAGAACTTGCATGTGAGTAACTGTCTAAGCTGTCTCATACATTTAAGTTTGGATTTTTGTTTTTCTATTGTGTTAAGTAACACTGGGATTTATAAGAATTTGCACAGGTAAGCTCCTGTGTTATTGTATTCTTAGTGAAGTCCCAAGCAAGTAACTTTCCTAAGCATAATCACGATATAGGACTCGGTCTTTAAGTTAGTTAAACCAAATATAATTCAGGGAGTTCACTTTTCTTCATCCTGAATTTTGGATATTGCTGTTAAAAGGAGTTAATAAAACTTTTTATAATATCAGATGTAAATCTTGTGTCCTAATCATTTAAAATGTGCTTAATTAAGCCTTACTTTGTACACTTTATTATGGTAAACCAGAGCTGTAAGGTGAGATTCTTAGTTAGAGTAAGTTGTGTATTTCTTTTGCCTTCAGTGGTGATAAAGAGACTGACTTGCTGACTTCCCCAGCTGAAGATTTAGCGTATTAAATTTAAATGTGGCATGCTGATAAATTGGCTTTCTTAAGGCACATTTATTTTATAGTTAAAAAGTTTTATGTAAAACAGCTTATGTTGCACAGGGACTATTATTCCATGTGGGTTTTTTGATGGAATGCTATTTAATTTAAAAATTAAGTATCACATTTAATTGGAGGATGAGTTATACATGGTTTGAGTGAAATAGATTTATTCCTTACTTTTATATTATAAAACAATTAAAGCGTATACCTCCACTTGGGTTTCATCTACTTTGCAATTTTCTTTTTTGGAAACTGTATTATTCATTATTAAACCCAGCATTTATTAAGGGACAGAATGTGCCTTTTTTCCAAAGCTGTTTCCATAATTTATAATCTGTATCGTTGGTTCATTAGTATTTGCACATTGCATCATTCTTTCTTCTTGTACTTTTTCCTATGAATTTTCAAGTTTTTCTTTTAAATAAAACAATTCGGTACTTACTGTACCAAGCAGACAATAGGACTGCCCTTCCTGCAATAGCAAGTCTTGCTAAAGTAAGGAATGTATATGTGAAAGCTCTGACATTCACAAATTAAATGTGATCAACAATCTTTTTTTTAATTCAGTGATTTTTAAAGACAATTAATGAGGACTGCTTAATGTGTCTGAATATAATTTTGTTTCATATGGCAGTAGATCTGAGCCTCAGGTCTGCAATAGGCTCTGTGTAGTAGTGTCTTTAACTTGGAAGAGCCTTTCTGGTTTTCATGGGCTTATTGCAGTGGCAAAGGCTGAACTATCTGGAAATGTATTTTAGCCTTGGGGTATGTGCAGATGCTGCACTTAGATTGATCTAGGCTTAGATAGACTTAAGTGCTGAATTTGTACATATTTGAGGAGGTTGGATTAGGCAAAAATGGCTGCCTAATCTAATTTAGTTCAGTCATGTGTAGACTTTACACTTAGATCAACCTAATCATAGTTAGGTCAATTTAAGTGCTGATCTGTATGTACATTTGGGAAGGTTAGGTGGAGCAAAAATAGCTGGTCTGATGCAACTTTAGTACACCTAACAGGTAGAACAGGTTACCCCATGCCCAATCTAAGCTAAAAGTATGTACTAGTCTAGCCCTGCTACCCACCCTGTATAGACTCATGACCTATCCCAGCCCCTGGACCACTATCCAACCAGCAAATGCATGCACATGTGGGACCTGATCTATAATGGCACGGATTAAAGTGAGCTGTGTTATTTGTAAATTGGGTCTTGGTAATATCTGTACATGTTTGTGTCATGACCCAAAGGCATGATTTTGTGTGCGCTTCGGCACCAGAATTATCCCCGCCAAGTTGCAACTTCATTGCACGGGAGAGTTTCCTGTCGTAGAGGAAAACCCCGGTGCAGGGACGAGTTTCCAGCCTTTTCTGCAGCTTCTTTTGCAGGGTGCATTGCTCATGTTGCAAGAGGAATGCACGGTGCAAAAGAGTTCCCGCCACTGGTATGTAAATTCGTTCCCCGCTATTGGCTAGTTTTAAATTATTCCCACGTGGCGGCTAACGATTGGCCTGTTAGCCATATAAGAGGCTTGAGCGGTTTCCGCCCAAGCCGAAGAGGACTCCACATCCATCTCGTGGGGACTCTGGGTACACGGCAGGGTAATAGAAACCCTGTGTGAGATCCAGAGGAGCCTGGCGGCCTGATCCACCGCCCACCTCTTCCCGTCTTCGAGTGTGACTTTTATAAGACGTACCTACGATTCCCATTTTGGTGGCTCGTTCACCCAGAGCATCTGGAGCTCTGTTCCGTGGAGCCTAGCAACCCCCACGAGACTGTCTGTGTTTTCTGTCTGTAACCGCAACTCAAGCAAGTTTTCCAGCCTACACCACTGCCATCTCGGTGTAAGTAAACAATCTTTAAAACTACCACTAAGCGTTTGTGCCTAATTCCAGCTCGACGGCCTTCCCTCTCCGACCTGGCGTGCCTGGGCTGCTGGCCACAGCCTGCGTGCAGCACAGAAAAGGGCTCGGGTCGCTCCCGGCCCGCACAGTTTGCAGCCCAGACCATTGTCCTGGCCCTGGGGTATGCTATGCCAACTCCCTGCCCCCCCCACCCCAAGCCCTCTGACCTTCACAGATCAACTAACCTCCACAACCTACTAGGTCACCCACATCCAGCCCCCTCCTCATCCACCACAATTTACTTAGATTGGGGTCTGAGCACCAGTGGACATCTGCACAATCGGCACCCTATTGACAATCATGACACTTAAAGTTTGTGGCATGATTGTAGATCAAATCCCAGAAACATCTGCACATCACATTGGGGTCTTGAATTACTTGAAAGGCTATTTAAAGTAATGCATGAGGCTCCATCCAGCACTCTCTTCAGAGATTCTATCCCCTTTAAGTGAATTTCCTCTGCATCCCTACCTCAGCTAAATTTCAAACGTATGTATACTAGAAAAAGTACACTCTCTGTACTTCAAAAGCATGTGCATGTCAACAGTCTAAGGAATGGCTCTGACAATGATGGTTGTAAAGAATAATGAAGGATACTTTCCTCTAGTGCAGGGCTGGCCCAGTGAAGAAAACAGTATTGAAGAGTGGGTTGATAGACTAATTGATGCATAAGCGTGTATTTTTGTTTCCCTTCTTCCTGGTATATGTGAGTAGCTTATTGCACAAAGCAACACCACAAGTGCAAGTATTTTAGGAGCTTTTACAACTTGTAATAGTTACCTTTCCATCTATGTGTACTTTGTAATTGGCATTTGCTGAAGTTATACTATCACTTCAGACTTATAGATTAATATCCAAAATGTTTTCCATAGAAGACAACCTCTATTGGTATTTATTTTTAAAAGATAACTTTATATCTATCCCAGTCTGCTTTCCTGTTTATTTGTTAAAAGCTGTGTGCTTGTTCAACGCATTTAGCCTGCCTGGAAGCAAAACTTTATGTCTCCGATTTGTAGTAATATTTCAGTTGTGTTGATTCACATTCTTGTGGGAAGAATGTCATCGAAAAATGGGCCATTAGCAACTGGCTTTACAGTGGAGCAATTGGATAAAGGTCATTGTGAGTCAAGAAGTGTTAACAGAATTGAGTATAGACAAATTCATTTGACATAACTGTATTGTGTTTCATGACGTGGTCTTATTCTCACCGTGCATAACCTACCTTTACAGTAGCATAACACTATTTTCAATGGAGTTATTCAACGCAGCATGAATGAAAGCAGGATTAAGATAGAAACATTTTAACAGACTGTGTTCCTTTAAAGAAAAAAACATTTAGTTCATCCTTTGAAAATGCATTTGTTTATCCTTTCCTACCCAAGGGACTATGCATGCTTCATAAGAATTTTCTGCTGATAACATAAGTTCTTCAGAGTAGAAGACTGCTTCATTGTCATACATTTGGCTTAATCTAATGTTAGTAACCTTTCTCCATTTCAAAAAACAACCACTCATCGTGTTGTTTTTCCAAAGGGTTCCTACCAATTTAGCCACCTGGATTCTCAGCAGCCTGCCAAGAAGAATACCTTCCATGTTTCAGGGGTGTTGGTTGTAGCTGTGGTGGTTTAAGAACATAGGCAGACAAGGTTCTTTGGGTAAATCTGATATCTTTTATTAAACCAACTAAAATAGCTGGAAACATTCAACAGGTTCAATTTTAGTTGGTCTAATAAAAGATATCAGATTTGCACAAAGAATCTTGTATGGAGAATATGTGGGAGTTGATGATCCAAGAATGTCCTGGCTCCTCAGTGAAAGGGCACTCTATTTTGCAAATTGCCTTGGAGTGGGAGAACTCAGGCTTTTAGAAACCAGGTCTGCAGGGTAGTCTGTCAGGGAGACGGCTTCAGAGCAGGAGTTCTGTCTTAATGCAAATATGCTGAAATTTTCTGTTTCTTGCCAAAATGGAACACAATCAAACCATGAAATATCCATATCATGAAGGATTTTGATTTGCCTTTCCCTGCATAGCTTTACCAAGTAGCGAACTTTGGGTGTACATGTCTGAAATCTGGTACAGAATGCCCAGGTCTGTCCTTCTCTTCCATCTGTTTTTAATTTTCTAGCACTAGCTGTTGCACTGCCTTGTGGTGGATAGAGGTGCAGCTTTGGGGGATAAGGATTATAGGTATCTCTTACAGATTTAACAGTGGCTGATACAGAAAGGCCCTGACTTTATTGAAGATATCACATAGTGCTACAACATTGTTAATGATTTAGGGAGTTGAGGACATTTCATTTTTCCTACATTAAGTATGTCACTTCCTGTAGGTTTAATAAGCATGTGTAGAAGTGTTTGAAGACACTTGTATCAGTTAGTTCTCAGTTGCAATGAACTTTCAAGGTGAGCTGTTGTCCAAGCAATTCATGGTCTTCCTACTTTGGGTGAAATTTTTACAGCTTCCTACAAAATGACTTGTGTTAGTTTCCATATGTTGATATGTTCTTTGACCTCCAGCTTCCCTATCTCATTTGGGATGCATTTATTTCAATTCCGCAAAATAACCCAACATAACTTGCAAGGTACTAGATATATCTT